GAATTGGGTGGCTGGGACGCAAGGACGAACGGCACTGAAGGAGCACTCCCACCCTCCCCGAAGGGAAGAACGCAGAGCCAGGGCAGGTCTGCAAGGGCAGCATCAGGGACCTGGTGGCCTTCCACGGTGAAACGGAGTGTCGCGCTGAGCTTCCCTAAGTGGAGTCGGGGCCGGGCAGGTGGAGGCAGGTGGGTGGGAGGAATAGCACCTCTGGGCGGGCTGTGCGTGTGGCTGAGACTTGGAGCTGAGCCCACAGGACACAAGACAGCTGATTTGCCACAGAAATGGCCGGGGCTTCAGTCTCACTACTGAGGCCTGAGAACAGCCCTGGCAGGGAGGAGGCGAAGGCGCGATGGTGCCCAGGACGCCCCGCAGACACCACTTTGGGGCGTGGTCAAGAGGGAAACAGGAAAAAAGGAGCCACCCTGAGGCCGGGGCCTGGAGCTAGAGGCCTGGACTGGGCAGAGCCAAGTGCCTGGCCCCACGGCCTCGGCCACACCTGTTACTGAGCAGGGCCTCAGCAGGGTGTCTGCGTGGGCCTGTCCCCATGCCCTGCGGGTGTGAGGGTGGCGTGTGTGGGTTCCCTTGCTGAGATGAGTGGGATGCCCTGGGGGCTGTCTGCTTCGGGTGGGGGTACATCTGAAGCAGGAAGGGGGTAAGGGGCATTTGGCGACGGGGTAGGGGAGCTGGGCACTGGCATCTGAAGTGCTCCCGGTTCTCCCCACTTGCCGGGCCACACGTGGAGTGGGGCCGTGGGGCCTGGCCGGCGTGTCGCCTGGGTGAAGGCTGCAGTGCTGCACGGCTGAGCGCCGCCACTGTCCCCCCAGAGCGCTGGCTGACCTGTGGGGTAGCACCAGCCCCACTGTGAGCGTGACCACCACCTTTCTCTGCCAGCTATCCTGCGTGGTGATGGTCTTCGACGTCTCACCGCTTCCAACCAAGACCAAACTATCCCCGCCACCCACACCTCCTCCTCATACTGCTATTTAGGAGGTCCCCACTGCGACCGGGATCTGGCTAGTCAGGGGTGAAGATCGAGAGTGGGAGAGGGACAAGTTGCCTCCTTGAGGGGCCGGGAGAAGGCTGTGCTCAGTCCCAGAATCTGGCCAACGGCTGGGGAGAAAGACAGGGCACCTGCTGGGGTCTCTGCATGCTGGGAGCTGCAGGGCAGGGCAGGGAGCCAGCGCCCAGGCCTGAGATCAGGGGGTGCTGCGGCCACCCCTGCCCGGAGTCCCCGGTGGCCAGCTCACCCCAGGCAGCCACAGAAGACGAATCAAGTTGGGCCAGGACAGGACCTTGCAGTGGAGGTTTAATGGGGCAGTCACTGTGATATCCCATTGCAGGCCCCGCACCTCTGCCACAGCGGGCCTAGGGAACCACCTGCACCCCGTCTCCTGGACCTGCTGTGCAGGGCACCCGCCCGGCAGCCCCATCGGCAGGCGTCCTGTCCCTATGCCCCGTCCCGGGCCGGCACTCTCTGAGGGCTAAGGCTTTCCTCCGCCCCAGGAACACCCATCGCCTCCTGTGCCCATGCCCATGCTGCGGGCAGGTCTGCGTCCTCGTCCTGTTGGGGCGGGCGCAGCCCTGCGGGGAGGGGCTGGCTCAGAGCCCTGTGCGAGGCGTGCTTCCGGCCGACTAAGGCACAGTGTGGTGGTGGCCGTGGGCTGCTGGCAATCCGGGCTAGCGCAGACGGCAGTGTCGAGACAGGCGTGGCATGCCATTCAGCCCCAGGCCTGCAGTGCAAGAGAGCTGGGGGGTGGCCCAGGTCCATGGGCCTCTGGGGGACACGAGGAGGTCTCTGTCCCCATGCCCCAGCCCAGGGGAGCCCCAGAGCTCAGGGCCAGAACCGAGGTGCAGTCATGGCGGCCCGGACTGGGAAGGCACAATCATGGCGTCTGGGAGGCCGAGGGCCACCCGGCCACAGGGCTAGGCGGACACGTTGACGTCCCTGAGAGAGATGGTGCTGCCTGGGGCCTCGTCCCCACGCAGCAGGGCCTGAGGGCGCGCATCTGCGTCTGCTCCAGGACCACCGGGCTCCGCGCCGGGCTCTGCACCGGGCTCCGCGCTGGGGCCCAGGCCCTGGGACAGGATCTGCTGGATGGTCCTGCGCAGGTTGGGGTGCAGCCGGCCCTGTGTCTGGTAGAAGACCTCCAGCGCGAAGGACTTGAGGGTGCCAGTGCAGAGGTCCTCGTACAGCGGGATGGTGTACATGCGCGACATCTGTGGGGGCCGTGGTGGCAGGGCGAGCCGACCCGACTGCTGCCCCACTCCCCCCGCCCACAGCTCCAGGTGGCCTGTGGGGGTCCTGTCTCCAGGGAGGGGCAGGAGGGGCCATCTCCGTGGAGCTCGGACACCCGTGCCCACACCCACACACTGAGCATCGCAAGCCAAGGCCTAGCACATCTCAGGCCAGCCTGGGCCATGACCCCAGCCCAGCTCCAGCCTGACCCTGCACGGCCTCTCCCAGGACCAGTGGACCCAGGCTGCCCTCTGAGGCCTGATCCTCTGCTTTCCTCCCCACACGGTGCCCTCCTCCCAGCCTGGACCCCATGTCCTCCCCACCCCTCCCCCATGTGCCTGGCCAGTCCTGAGCACTCAGGCTGGGGAGCTGAGTGGGATAGGTTGGCACGGAGGGGCACGGCTCAGTCCCCACAGCGAACCCGGCCAGGACGCAGGCAGGTGGTCATACCTGGCTCTCCAGGAAGCGCCGGACCCTGTGCAGGTCAGGGTAGTAGTCGTTGCGGACCACGATCTGCAGCCAGCGGATGCGGATCTCAGCGTTCATCGAGTCCAGCAAGGAGGAGTAGCACTCGGACAGGCTCATCACCACCTCTGGGGCAGGGCACGCAGGTCAGGGCCAAGCTCCAACAGACGCCCACCCGGCTGCTGCCCACCAGCTGCAGGACCCACCCTGGGGCAGTGGGGACCCGTCCAGGAGCCGGTCAAGGAAGAGCGCTGTCTGGAAAGTCCTCCACTTGGAGATGTCAATGGCGCTGGCCGAGGCGGCCGCCTGGTCCAGGGGCTCCGCGGTCCACAGCTGGAAGAGCGCCTCCACTGGCCGGGTCAGGCTGGACCCCTGAGACAGGTCTGGCTCGGCCAGCGGTGGGCCCGTGGCATTGAGCCAGCGCTCAAACTCCAACCCTGTAGGGAGGAGCGAGGAGCGATGCTGGGGTTCCTGCCAGGTCTGGGGAGGGCCCCCAAGCAGCCTGCTCAGGAGACCCCAAAGCCTGAGGAAGACCCAGGGCAGGTGGGGAAGTGGGCTAGGGGCACAGGTAGATTGGGGAGGCCAGGTCAGCTCTTGCCAGTGCCTGCTGCTTGGAGCCACCAGAGGGCTTCTGTGCTGGGCACAGAGCCAGAGGATTGGGGGAGCTACAGAACCCCACTCCTGTCCTGGCTAGGATGACAACGTCCGTAAGCCCGACCTGGGCAAGGGGGCGGTGCTCCGCACCGAGCCGGGGAGGGTTTGCATGCCGAAAACAATGTTCTTGTCTGGAGCGCCAGCACGGGGCACCAATGGACACGGCCCCAAACCCTGATGCACTCCCCGCACCCGGGGCTTGCAGCTACACCCCAGTACCTGCCAGCCTCTCCCTGGCAGAGCCCTCCAGGCCCTTCCTTGGTCCCCACCCCCTCAGGACACCCTCATGGACTTGCACAGTGGCCAACTGGCTTTGGCCAGCTCCAGGGCTGCCCCTCTCTCCCCATGGTCCTGCCCACCCTGCACACGGTGCTTTTCCAGGGGCTGCCTGACTCGGCGCTCCCGCCTCCTCTGGGAAGCCCACCAAGCTCTATCAAGCTGGGAAGCACACCCTCCTGTCTCTCAGGTTCTGGCCTGGACCCAGGCCCAAGGAGGCATGGCTGAGGGGAGCATGGGTGAGCTGCTGGGCTCTCTCCTGGGCCCGTTGCCATTCCGAGCAGCACAGGCCCCAGCGCATCGCCCTCACCTGCCCGGCAGTCCACGCTCTGCTCCTTCAGCTCTGGGAAGAAGCTCAGGAAGGAGTCCAGCAGGTCCTGGGCCACCACGCTGCTGAACTTGTACTTCTCCACATAGGCCTGTGAGGCGAGGGGGTGGGGTCAGCAGCCTGGAGGGGCTGCCGCGGCTGCACAACACGGC